GACACTTGGCAACTGACTCCTATTTATGACAGTTACAGTGTCCCGGGATCATGTGATTCTCTTTTGTGACCTTCTGGCAAGCAAAGTCAATGGGGAAGCCAGATTCCCTTAACACCTGCGTTACTAACTTAACAACTGCAGTGATTCACTTAACAACGATGGCAAGAAAAGTCATCAAATGGGCTAAACTCACTTAACAGTTGTCTATTTTGGGCTTGGCCAATTGTCGGAGATTGAGGACTACCTGTAATATAGAGCATGCCACAGATGAAGGCTGCATTCTTTATCTGGGTGAAATGTTCTTGATAGGAAATTTTTTATCAAATGAGGACTTCTTTGTTTTTTAATTTATTTTATTGACTTTGCAACATTGTGTAAATATGCACTCCTCTGTACATTTCGGGCACACCCTATCATTAGAATGGTGGTTAGTGGGAGTAAACCACTGACTTTTGCAATGCACACATATGATGTTACAGTTAGATATTACATGTGTTTCTTATGCATCACGTGTGATATGACAGTTAGAACGAAACAACCTTATTTTTGTACAGTTTCCAGAGGCCTTGCTGGTTTCATTAATTTCCATGAAATGTGCACTAATGTACCATTTCTTGGAGTTTTGTGTCTGAATTTAAACATCTAGCCAGCTGCTTTGGAAATCAAATTTGTATGTTGAAAAAAAATGCTCATTTTCCTTCCTTCAGGTCAGATTTTACCTGAACAAGTTAAAAATCAGTATTTTTAATACTGATTAAAAATAAGCTGGGAAATAGTTTTCCTTCCTTCCTTCCTTCCTTCCTTCCTTCCTTCCTTCCTTCCTTCCTTCCTTCCTCCGTCCCTCCCACCCTCCTTCCCTTCCCTTCCCTTCCCTATCCATCCATCCATACTTTTTGTGAAATTATGAATATCTGTTACCTTGTGAAAGATCAGAAAACCTGTTCCACTATATCTCATCTAAAAGAGAATAAAGGGTCTTGGTACTCTCTGAGCATGGTTGTTTTCTTGCAGATGTCTGTTTCATTACCCAGACTAGGTAGCATCATCAGTGCTAGTGACTAATGCTAGCACTAATGAAGTTACCTAGTTTGGATAATGAAACAAGCAAGCTCAGAGAGCACCAGGGACTCCTCATTTCAACCCTGAGGTAAAAATATTCTCTTTTATAGAAGAGAATAAGCACTTACTGTACCTATCTTGAGGGACATTGGATTTTCGGACCCTTTCCATTCAGTTGGGGTGGAAAATCCAAAGTATTAGAGTCAAAAGATTACAGATGATTACTGGTCTCCTCCCCTACCTAACTGACATATAAACTTGGCTTTTGCATGCCATAGGTTATGAATGTACACTAAGACTATGCAGCAATTTAGATTTATTTATTGATTGATTGATTCGATTTATATGCCGCCCTTCTCCGGAGACTCAGGGCAGCTTACAATGCATTAAGCAATAGCCTTCATACTTTTGTATATACTTGCTTAGTAGGGCTTTCAGCTCCCCCTAAGCGGTGTTCTTTTTTATACAAAGTCAGCTTATTGCCCCCACAATCTGGGTCCTCATTTTACCTACCTCGGAAGGATGGAAGGCTGAGTCAACCTTGAGCCTGGTGAGATTTGAACTCGCAGTAATTGCAGGCAGCTGGCAGCTAAGTGCTACTTAACAGGACTTTTAGTCCGCTGTACCACCAAGGCTCTTGTAAATTTTAGATTCAAAGACAAAAGAGTGCTTTGGAGCATATCAGAAAAATGTGTCTGCATTTTTCACAGGGTCCTATAGCTGCCTGCCATAGGATCCTGGGAAAAGAAGTGGCTGCTTTAAGTAATTGCAAACAGGTGCTACATTCCTGCTACTGGACGCTCCAAAACAACTTTTCACCTTCAGATTTGAAACTCTGCCCAATCCTAATATGCAAATATCCTTAAATGTTTCATCTGTTCCTTCCATTCCATTCCATCATCAGTTTCAGAGCCAAGAAGGGCTCTGAACTTAAGCTTTTATTTTCTAGGCAGGACACAGAAAATGTATCAGTTGTTAATAAATAAAAACATCTATTCAAATCCATTTAGATGAGGCTTGACTATAGTTTCTTGTCATTTCTCACTTTACTAGTAGTTAGAATTTTTATAGTAATTGACATTTACCAGGCCCTTCATACAAGCCAAGGGGTTGAGATATAGGTAAAATAAAGGAGGTGAGATTTACAGCCACAGATAAATTAACTCGGAAATTAATTTGTTTATTTGATAAAGTTAATATTTACTTACATTTCTCTTTTGTTCTAAAAGGTGCTGAATCAAATATTTATAAATGATACAGAAGAAGGCACAAAAAGACCTGAGTTTGTATTTCCACAGATGATAAGACCTGTGGTCTACTTGTGGAGGTTGACCTAAGGCTTATAGCAGAGTAGGTCATGGTACACAGATTCAGGGGTTCCCAACCTATGGACCGTGGTCCACTACCAGACCATTGCCTGTTGGCCACCGGGCCACGTGAGTGACCTGCCAGTGTGCATATGTGCATGCACACACATCCTGCCACTCATGGCATTGTTGCTCTGAGTGCCGTGCAGCCGCTACTCACTCCACAGGCGCCACATGGCCGCTACCATCACTACAGGCACTGTGCATGTGCTACTGTCACCGTGGGTGTTATCGTTGCCGTACATGCACTCATAGCCCCATTCACACTTGTGCATGCGCGCATCCTCCCCCCTCTGGCCAGCCAGCCCTGAAAGGTTGGGGAACTCTAGATTAGAGACAGGTCCAGGGGTGAAATCTAAAATTTGTTACTACCGGTTCTGTGGGCGTGGCTTAGTGTATGGGGGGTAATGTGACTGGGTGGGCGTGGCCAACTTTTTTTTTAAAACTTTTAAAAGCATTTTTTCTACAACCTTAAGAGGTTGCAGAAAAAAATGCTTTTAAAAGCCTCTGACGATCCCAGCTGAGCTGCTCGATCATCAGAGGCTTTTTTTTTTTTACTTTTAAAAGCATTTTTTCGGCCGAAGAGGTGTAGAAAAAATGCTTTTAAAAGTAAAAAAACCAGCCTCTGATGATTGCGTGCCTCAGCTGAGCATGGGGGGGTGGGGTGGGCGTAGGGATTTTTGTTACCGGTTCTCCGAACCACCTGCCACCATCGCTAATGGATTGGGCGATCCGGTCCGAACCGGGAGCATTTCACCCCTGGACAGCTCCCTCCCTTAAGAAGGTAATAGTACAATCAATAGATCTAGACGAGATGGGTAGCACATAAATCAAATCAATGAAAGAAAGACGTAGAGGCAAGAAACAGAAAAGAACGCAAGAGTAGATAGGGGAAGAGTATGCAATTATTCCACAATTAATTACAAAAAGAAAACAGTTTTGAAAACTGTAGCTTAATTTGAATCTGGATATAAAATGGGTTTAATCTTAGGACACGTTTTAAACATTTATTCTGGACATACTGTGTTTCCCCGAAAATAAGACCCTGTCTTATATTTTTTTGAACCTTGAAATAAGCGCTTGGCCTTATTGCCATGCGCTCAAAAGCCCGATTGGGCTTATTATCAGGGGATGTCTTATTTTGGGGGAAACATGGTACAGACATTCTGTATGACTTTTTGGCTCAACATCAAATGTCTCATGAGTAGGAAAGAATAAATCCTCTAGATGGCAGACAATACCAAGGATGGGTAAATATCTACATTCTTTTTTCATTCTCATGAAAATTCACCCAGTCTTCCCTAGTCCCTTCATAATATTCCCCAAGGAATGCTATTTATGGATTTAGGATATCAGCATTCTTAGGAACAGCCTGAAGTGATTTCCATATGTTTTGTTCTGCACATGATATGTGACACAATTTGCAACCTGACCCTCTGAATGGCAGTAGGTTGAAGAAACCAAGGTCAAAACGTAAGGTTTGAGTCCAGTGACTTTCTCCACATGGTTTGTTAGGTAGATTGCTTATAAGCATAATGATCAAGTTCTTCATTGTGGTTTCTCTGACCCACTTTTGAACTTTCATCCGCAGAAGGAACTTCAAATCAGTAATCGGTTTCAGCTATGTTTATAGGTGGATGACAGGGTGTTTTTCTTTTTGAGAGTTAACCATTCCTTAAAGTTGTCAATATTTCGATCACTTTGGGATATTAGGAGGAAGGATTTGAAGAATTCTCTTTTCTCCCACTTAAGAATACAGTACGTGTTCCTGCATTAATAGCAAATCTGCTTTGCAAAACTCCAAGTGGCCTTATTCTCTAGGCAAGAGAATTACAGGACACCTCCATTATTGCCATCTGTCGGTGATCCATATTTTTACACACCAGATCTATTACCACTACCTAGCTAATCCCTAACATGTTTTAGTTGATGTTACCTTATGGCAAGTGTGTCAAACTTGATTTCATTGAAGGCCACATCAGAGTTGGGTTTGACCTTGGTGGGCCGGGGGTGGGCATGGCTGGAGTGGGCGTGGCCAGGGTGGGCATGGCCAGCTCGACGTCACTCATTGAGGCTCCGTTTTCGGAGACAGCCTCCTGCAGCCCTCTGCCAGTGAAGTGAGGTGCCCGTTTTCACTGGCAGAGGGCTGCAGGAGGTCGTTGGGGCTGAAAATGCGGCCCTCCCGAGCTCCATTTTGGCTAGCAGAGGCACCACGAGCTGGTCCTTCACTATTTCCAAGGTGGCCACATGGGCCAGATCTAAGCACGCCGTGGGCTGGATCCGGCCCGTGGGCCTTGAGTTTTTCACCCCTGCCTTATGGTATTGTTTAAACATTTTTAATATGATTGCAACACATAGTTGCAGGGTGATTTCACAGGGAATCACCCTGCAACTATGGGGAAGATGGACACATCTCGAATATTGAGAGTATGTGATGGGTATTCTAGGAAAATGGGAACCAGAAGACAAAACACCCCGTCTTAAACATTCAGGATGCTCACTACCATGTTATGTTTTTCTCTGTTTTGGGGGGAACCGATAGGAATTCTTCCAAAGAAAACACTCAACTGTAGCCATTCACCATTTTATACACAGTATTCGAAAACCATTTTGTTGTCTATATGAGGCTGGGAGATATTGTTGAAATAAAGATCAGGCTGGCATTTTGCTCTCTAGCAACCAATGTTCTCATTTTAAAAAATCATTATTTTTTTAAAAAAAACTAACATTCAGATAAGCTGGGGACTTTGATGAACACAAAAGAAACATGTTGGTAAATGCGTTTTGAATTCTGAGCATTTGGCTTGGTGTATTGTGCGAGTCCAAACACTTGTGATTTGCCTAGCAAACCTATTTAAGCAAACCATGGCTGCCTGAGCTAGGACAAACTAGTCTGGAAAGAGGAAGGAACAGAAGAGAGGGAACACAGACGAAGAGAAGCTGGGTGGAAAATAAGTGAAACGTAGATCTCACTCTGTTCAACTGGGAATTTGAAGTGTTTGCTGCTCACTTCATTTAGCACTTCACTTGATGTTCATCACTCTGGTGGATCTCCAGTCTGTTAGAAATCCATATTCTTTTTCTCTCATTTGCTTTGCTTCTCAAATTATAAATAAACCCTATATTACAAAACCAGTAGAAATGATAATGTTAGATCTAGGAAGGTTTTCACGGTTTATTGCTAATCAGTCATACAGATAAGAACCGACTTGCCTGATATTCCCACTTCACTTCTGCTAACAACGCTTATGAAACATATCATCCAGAACTAGTATCCAAAGCCCAGAACTTGTGTTTGGGTAACTCTGGCTCATAAAACCCTCTATGGATTGTGAATCCCCCAACCCAGCCCATGCACTAAAACATATTTAGAATAGAGTTCCCCAACCGTTCTGGATTGGTGGTCTGGGGGGTGGGTGGAGTGGAAGAGGACATGGTTTTGTGGGAGGGGCAGGTGCACGTGGACCCATTGCAACATTCGCACAAGTGGCACTGCGAGTGCTTGTGTGACTGAGGCAACAAACACCCACGACACTCCCATGAGTTAGGGCTGCAATCCCCCGTGACGCTGGTGCAAGTGGGGCAGTGCACGCACGCACCAGCCAGCCACTCGCATGGCCTGGTTGTGAATAGGCCACGGACCGGTAGTGGGCCGTGGCCCACAGGTTGGGGACTCCGGTTTAGAAAGTTGTAAACAGCTTCGCTCCCTTGTGCAATTTTACATGCAGAGGCCCAAGCAAAAAAAAGCAGTAAGCCAGTCTGATCAACCAGTTTTTAAAAGCTAGTGCAACATGCTATTTGTGCCCGTACAGTAAGAGTGGAAAAGAAAAGGTAATGTTTGCAATAAGCAATAGTGCATCTCTTGCTAGCAAAGGAAACCATGGTGAATGAGTTCATCAGCTCAATGAGCTGTTGATGGACAGTATCAAAGCAAGTGTTTTTCCTCCTTAGTAAAAAGTAGTCTCTTTCTAGTCAAGCTTGACTCTTGCTGATTATTGAAATGGATTTCCTTGGAAATCCATGTAATTTTAAGGGCAGGTGCCCAGCCGATAAGGATTCAACAGATGATTGGGGATACAGACAAACCTCCAGGCTCCTGCATTATCAGTAAAGAGACCTGCCACCTGGGCAGTTCAAGCGGAAGCTGTTAAAAATAAATTATATAAAGCTCTCCCCTGCTGTCCTAGGAGGTAACTTGTTTCTGATGGAAAATAATTTGGTTCCTGAAATTCTTGCACTCGGTATCTCTTTCCAGTTCTTATTAAGAAGATCATGCTGTTCATGCCTCAGTTTGAATCAGCTGTTTGCAGCCCATATATAGTTTTTTTGGTAATTGATACGGAAGTTGTTATTTTTTTCCCCTCTTCTTTTTAATTTCCTAATCTATCTGATGATAGTTGCATTGGTGCAGTGAACATGAATTTGGGCAAACTCTGGTAGAGTGGAGTGGAGAGTGGAGGATGGGGAGGTGGGGTGGGGTGGGATGCTGGTGTGTTATGGTCCATGGGTCTGCGAAGAGTCGGACATGACTTAACAAAAGCCAGCCTATAAATTTCCTTGTTTTCTCCTGTCCAAGATATAATATGATCAAATTCTTGTTAGGGTTTTTTTTTTTTAATGGAGCCAAAATAAACTACCATATTTTGGGGAGTATAAGACGCACCTACCTTTTTTTGGTGAGGAAAAGAAGAAAAAGAAATTTGCCTCTGCCTCTGAGCAATTTTGCCTCATTGCAGCAAACAGCCTGCTTTGCTTTCATTTTTGTTTTCAGCATAGCTTGATTAGCACAAGGAAAAAAAAATCTGCTCCAGCAATTTACCTCTTTGCAGCAAGCAGCAGAGCCCTGCACAAAACAGCTGAGAGCAAATCAGCTGAGAGTCGGAGGCCGATCCAATCAACTTGTGCTAATTAGCCTGTGCTGAAGCTGAAAGGAGCTGTTTTTTCTTGCTGCTTGCTTGCAAGGAGGTAACTGCTGCGAGGCAGAGGCCAAAGGGTGGGGGCCAGTGGGTGGGCGGGGCTACATTTGGTGTATAAGACCCACCTAAATTTTCACCCCCTTTTAGGGGGGAAAAGATGCAGCTTATACTCCGAAAAATACGGTAGTTGCTTCCTTTTCTGATTTTTTTTTTTTAAATTAAGCCAGATATGGAATGGGTGAAGTGCAACTTGTTACCCTCTATCCTCTTAAATTGAGAGGATAGTAATAGCAATAGGGCTTAGACATATATACCATTCCATAGCCCTCTCTAAGTGCTTTACAGAGTCAGCATATTGCCCCCAATAATCTGGCTCCTCATTTTACCCACCTTGGAAGGATGGAAGGATGAGTCAGCCTTGATCCGCTCAGGATCGAACTCCAGGCTGTGGGCAGAATTAGCCTGCAATACTGCATTCTAACCACTGCGCCACCACAGCTCTTAATTTCTATCCCCTGCAAAGAAAGGCATAAAAAGGGGATTTGTAGAGAATAGTGAGGAAAAAACCAATGGCTCTGATATTCATCTCATATTTGCCCAAAAGCACATAGATTAAATGACACTGTGGAAAAATATTCTATCGTCATATACAGGTAGTCCTCAGCTTGCAACCACAACTGAGCCCCAAAATTCTCTTGATAAGCAAGATATTTGTTAAGTGAATTTTGCCCCATTTTAAGCCTTTTCTTGTCCCAGTTGTTAAGTGAATCACTGTAGTTGTTAAGTTAATGACACAGTTGTTAAGTGAATCTGGCTTCCCCATGGACTTTGCTGGTCAGAAGGTCACAAAAGGGGATCACATGACCCTGGGATACTGCAACCGTCACAGGGGTGGGTTTTAAATTTTTTTACTACCGGTTCTGTGGGCGTGGCTTATTTTGTGGGTGTGGCTTGGAGGTCATGTGACTAGGTGGGCGTGGCTAGCTGGTCAGAGTCACTTACGACCCGACTCATTTGTTTGCTTTTAACATTGATCAGCTGTAGGACGGCCCTTTGAAGCCCCGCGCCAAGAGTTTAAACAGTTTTTTTCCCTCTAGTCATCAGCTGGGACTCAGGAGGCAGCAATAGATTGGGGGTGGGACCAAATAAAAGGTAAGAATAACGTGGGTGGGTGGGTGGGAGGGCGGGGGGGAGAACCGGTTCAGTGACGTCATATCATCACCGCTACCGGCTCGGCCGAACCGGACCGAACCGGGAGGAACCCACCACTGAACCGTCATAAATATGAGTCAGGTGCCAAGCATCCAGATTTTGATCATGTGACCATGGGGATGCTGCAACGGTCGAATGAAAAATGGCCATAACTCACTGTTTTCAGTGCCGTTTTAACTTTGAATGGCCACTAAATGAATTGTAATCAGTTGAGGATTACCTGTACATCAAAAATGGAATTTTTTAGATGGTAGAAACCAGACAGTGCATTGCACAATGAGAACCTTTTACTACCTATCAAGCATGAAGGTAGTTGCATCATACTTTCTACTGGAATGACCAACTAAAAGCCCATAAAATTGTTCTGGCAGGCTCTGAAACGAGCAGGACATGCCAGAAAACCTGAAACATTAAAGCAGTTTGACGTGGAAGGATGGGCCAGAATTCCCTCAGGCTAGTGGAAGAGGCTGATTGCCAATTGCAAGAAATACAGTATTTAGTTGCAGTTATTGCAGCCAAAACTCATCATCATTGTCATTTAACCACCCCATAATCCCTTGCGGGGTGGAATCTGGGCAACTGAATGGAGCTAGCAGAGTGTTTTAATGGCCGGATGCCCTTCCTGTTGCCAACGCGGAGATTTGTTCAGCAGATATACTCTCAGTGTGTCCAGAGAGAGAAATATATGCCTCTACCTAGGATCGAACTCACAGCCTCCTGATTGTGAGGCGAGAGCTCCCCCTCTAGGCCACTGCACCATTCCTATTGCAGCCAAAGGTGATGCAACCAATTACTGAATTAGTCCTCCGAACTGGTATTTCCAATGATCAGCTGTGCTGCACGGTTTAGCTTTGCTAGAAAGCAGGGAATCCTGCTTTCTAGCGAAACTAAATTGCACGGCATAGCTGATTCTCCCCCTCGCTGTTCTACTTACTCCTTTTGGTGTGCATTGTGCATGCGCGCACACAGCGTGCATTTGGCACGCGGTGTGCATGCACAGCCAGCAAACCAGTAGCAAACCGGTTCAGATTTCTTGTTCAGAGTTACAAGAAGTTTAAAAAAAAGTTGTTTAGAACCCATCTTCAAAGTTACAACTGCCACTCCCCTTCTCCCCTCCCTTCCAGTCAAACACTTGCATTTTAATGCCTGGCAACCAGTTTATGTCCATTTGCAACATCACGCAACCATGATTGGTAATGGCTTTTGCTATCTTCCAACAATTGCACATGCTGGATTTGCTGAACAACCTCGTGGTTTGCTTAATGACCATGGTGGCTCATTTAATCATCATCATAAAAACAGTTTTTTCGAGCAGAAAGCACCGTCAGGATGAGGATGGTCTTCTATTAAATGGGACCGACGATTGATCTGAAGCTGGGATCCAGCAGAAAACCTTTTAAGTGCTCGTGGCTTTGGCTTTTTAATTCTGAGTAGCTTTTGTAGCAAGAGGAGAATTTCATGGGCAAATAAGGTGGGAAATTGGTCTTTCCTCTTTTTAAATTAGAATAGAATAACTTTATTGTTACTTTGAATGTACACTTAATTGGCATACATTAAAACAAAATTTCACTGCATCCAGCTCTCAAAGGGTCCAATATACACCACATAAACATGAATGAATGAATGAATGAATGAATGAATGAATGAATGAATGGAAAAATTATGCCGATGCCCGCATATATTTTATGACACAGAGAAACAACACAGACTAGTCCGGATGTATGAAAGTCATCACAATACACAGGAGCCGGGGAGAGATACGAAATGTAATCAAATGGTACTCAGAAAAGATTCTGAAGAGATGCTTTCTCACTTTTGAAGAGGCATTAAAGCTTGGTATAAATTTTGCTGTGAAAATCAAAGGTTCAGTCACATGTGCATGTGTACACATAATAAGCATACACACAGACACAAATGATTTCTAACCTGCCTTTCCATTCTGCAGCTTAAACTGATATAATGTCCCTTCCTGTTTTTTCCCCTCAACCACTTCCACATCAGGCAGGGTTGCTGGGGTCAAACTGTGAGCTTCTGTGCCGAAGGTGAACAAGAATTGAGTCCCTAACCGTTATCCCGGACTGCCTGAGACTTGGAGAATGCCATCTAGAGCATGCTAGGTATGGTGGGCAAGTAGGTTTAGGCAATGCTGTAGACTAAGCCATGGTGGTTTGGCTTGAGATTTAGGATATTTATTTTATTAAGACCTTTATATGACTGCCCAACTCATTCACAATGACTCTGGATGACTTATAGAACTAAAACCCCAAATATAAATCCCAATGAACACCCACTTTCCTCAAACAAAACATCTGATGGGCTCCATATCATCCTGGGGTTCCCCAGGCCTGCTGGCAAAATGATGTCTCCAGGGCTTTTTGAAAGAGTATGGAAGCGGAGGCCAATCTTATTTCTGTGGGGATGATATTTCCAGAGGGACGGAACCAGAGGTGGTATTCAGCCGGTTTGTACCACTTCACGTGAACCGGTAGCGGAAATTGTGGGTACACCCGCCCACTCACCCCAGCTCTATTCCGTCCTATTTAGGCACATTTTTGAGGCTGGGCGCATGCACGGAAGGCTGGGCACATGCATGGAAGGCAGGCATGTGTGCAAACCGGGCGTGCATGCATGTAAAGCAAGTGTGCACACGCACGGCGAACCGGTAGTAACAAAATGTGAAACCCACCACTGGAGGGAACCACCAGAGAAGGCCCTTCTTCTTAGTCCCACTAGATCAGGGTGGTCAAACTCAAGGCCCACAGGCCAGATGCGGCCTGCGAGCTGCTTAGATCTGCCTCATGGGTCTGGCCTGGAAATATCAAAAGGACCAGCCCGCGGTGCCTCTGCTGGCCAAAACAGACCACAGCCTGATTTCTGCCGGCAGAGTGCTGCAGGAGGCAGCATCTTCTTCACCTTCTCTTTAGCAGTATCGGCCAACTGGAACTAGGTACCCTCCAAGATTGGATTATTTCCCCCCTCCCCCCCCCAATATTTCCACCCAAATATTAACCAGGCTTAACTCTCCATAGCTTCTAAATCCAGATATGGAGAACCAGATGCTAAGCTTGGAACTGCTGAGATAAGTATTGTACCTTGAGACTGCCTCCTGAAGCTGATCTAATTTTTCACATCTGATTCATTAAACATTTGTTCTTTTTTTCTCCTCCAATATGGTGTCTAAATCATTTGGCAGCAGCATAATGACATAAATACAGTTGTGTCAAAACTGACTAGGCCCTAATACAGCAAGGTGTCTATATCATCTTTCAAATCATTTTCTAAATAGAAGCTCATTAGAAGATACATCAATTTCTGAAGCCCGTTTTGGCCGGCAGAGTGCTACATGAGGCGGCACCTTCTTCACCTTCTCTTTAGCACATCTGCCAAGTAGAACTAGGTACCCTCCAAGATCTGGATGGCTGTTGTTCAGAAGAGGCAGAAACATCTGGTTCTTCACCCAGGTCTTTGATGAGAGTGAGCCCCTTCGTATCACTGAGTTTGTCATCTTCTATGTTAATCTTTTACCTGTGATTGATTCAATTGTAATTTTTTTTAATTGTGAACCATCCAGGGTCATTGAGAATTGGGTGGTATATCAATTGTGTAAATTATTACTAATATTAAGTCCTCCTCTAGGGCTGTGTCAGAGGTGTTATGCTCTGCTCCTATACAAAAGAGTCAAGCCCAATGGTGGGTTGCTCCTGATTCACTCCGGTTCAGGCAAACCGGTAGCACTTGGGCGAACTGGTCGTGGCGGCGGTGGGAGGCTCCGCCCACCCACCCACCCAGACATCATCAAAAACGATCTCATGTGCAGAAGCATCTGCATATCTGCATGCCCATGTGCTACTGATAGCAAAACGGTAGCCCCAGGTTTTGAAACCCACTACTGGTCAAGTCCCGTAGCAGCTGCAGATTACATGTATTTAATCTCTATATTATGGAATTGAGACTATTTGTGCCAGAAAGTAAATCTCCCTTTTTCTGGAATAGCTGTTTTGAATGCAAAGGGGAAAAAATGCATCTTGAGCCTGTGTCAAATACCCACCATGGCCATGCCCACCCTGGCTACGCCTACTCCGGCCACACCCCACCATCATTCCCAGTCCTCCGAGGTCAAATACAACCCTGATGTGGCCCGCAATGAAATTGAGTTTGACACCCCTGTGCTAGATGGACCTCCTTAAAAGAGGGAAACTGTAACATACCCTGCCTGCCCACTCTTGTTGGTTGGGTAGCTGTAGCTGGGAAAAGACAGTCCTTCAAATAATCTGACCCCAAGCCATGTAAGGT